GCTTATGTCGTGCATTTGTGACAGAAAACACTAGTAATTTATTTAATAAAGAATACAGAACGAATATTGTACATTATGTGAACTTCATACAGGTATGTTATATGCACTACATATGCTTTAAAACTTTTTCTAATACTTCATAAAATAATATAATTTCAGCTTTACGGTCAAGAAAAACATTTAGTTATGCGCGAAATCCTTGTTAATAATTCACTAGATCCTTTACAACCTCAATGGGTGAACTGTGATGTTGCGTGTCTAGTATATGATTCATCGAATCCACGTTCATTTGAATATATTGCTCGCATATACAGTAAGTATTACGCTGAGAGCAAAATTCCAGTTATGATTGTTGGCACAAAATCAGACTTAGTTGAACGTCAACAAGACTATATACTACAACCAGCCGAATTTTGTCAAAAGTATAAACTTCAGCCACCATTTTTGTTCAGTCTTAAGAGTAATAAGAAGGAGATGTATACCAAATTAGCAACATTGGCATCATATCCATATGTATTTTATTATTTCAAAAATAAGAATATAGTGCTGAATCCGGATTCAGATTCTTTCCAAGAACTAATGAAATTTGTTAACTGAAAGGCGAGCCGAATCAAAAAATGTTTATGAGATTTTAAAACGAGATTTGAGTTTTATTTAACTAATTGTATATTAAATTAATAAAATTTTAAATTTAAAACAAACTTTACTTATTTAGCGCATAAGGACCAACGAATTAAACGAATTAAACCATTGAGCTTTGTATGTTGGCGACAGAATTAGTTGTCTCAACAAGAATTACTTATCCCTTTTTGAGGATGTCTTACTAGAGGTGCTCTTTAATATTGCAATACGATGTATCTATATGTAATACAGATGTCATTGGTTTTTATATTTTGACTCGACAATTTTTATTTTATTTCTTAGAGGTTTTTTTACTTGTATATATATTTAATATGTCATGTAAAATAAATTTTGTAGATCTCTCTTAGCGGACATGCTCTTTCCAGTTCTGATGATTTTGCGCGAAGTGTTTAATTTCTGGCCAGATGCTTCAACTCTGGTATTCCGCACATACCTGGTTAAACTTTACGGATTTCATTTCCACCATTTCCATAAGATCATTTTAATGCTTTTTTAAAATCTGGTCTATCCAATTCCATTTTTTTCTCTTAATATCTGGTATAGACGCGCAATTGTATTGAATTGCATAATCTAAAGGTGACTATTGTGAAACGAAATATAACACCCAGAGTTAACGTGTAGCGGGTATATTGAAACTGGTCTGTATAAAGGTACCTTCTGGAAATTATGAAGTGGAACCACAGCAAAATCGGAAATGGTGTGTGCAAAGCGATGCTTTAACTGATATACAACGTTATATCAAGATCAGCTGTAGTTGAGACAAGCATTGGGTATTGGGTGTTCATATGTTACAAGTGAAGGCTTAATTAATTCTGGGCTTGCGTTAGATATTACTATATATGACATAAATATTGATAATATACAAGAAAAAATAAAAGAAAAATGAAATATAAACAATATCGTAATTAAAGAGGGTTTCCTAAAATATTTTCCACCTTTTGCACAAGATATGATTATTTTTTTTTAATTAAATGATTTCATATGAACATTGGTTTAGTTTTCCAAACCTGGCCTTAAATAAGTCTCTGTACATGTTCTAAATGAAATATATAACTGATCATAATTTAATATATATTCACCTTTTATCGTTTTAGAATTGATTAGTTATATTTATTTTTAATTAGCTACCACTCGTAAAAACCTTCGTATAACTTTTGAGAATGCTAGAAATTACTTTTAAAAATTACCCACGGTCACTAGTCACTAGTGCCATGTTATATAGCCAGTGATATGACGAATGATCACGACAATTTCTAGCGTTTTTTGGTCATGATCAAAAGGCATGTTCCACAGAATGTCATATCACAATTATTCATTTCCTACCTTTACAACTATTTTGGTACGTTCTTTTTGTGCCTAAATTTAAATTATATTTGTATGGATATACTTCTATATCCACACAAATATACACATATTTACTCCTAATAGGGGCAAATACTGACATTTATTACTGAACAACAGTCTTTCGATCAACGTGACTAGGCACAGAAAACCTAGTTCAGTGACTCTCATTCTCGATTTTTCGATTTACATTAAATACAATAACAATATCAAATATGAAGAGACCCTGACTGTCTATGTAACATGGCAGTTTCTGGTCATGTAATACATGTTAATTTTTTTCTATTTTTAGATTGAACAATCTATCAAAGAAATAAAAATTAAATTTTTTAAATGTAATTGTCATTTTCTTTCAATATCAAAGCTTCGTTATTTGTTAAAATTTTTATTGTCTGATTATATATATTATTTTTGGAGAATAAAGAAGTAAGAGATATATATTTTTTTACCAATAGCTGTACAAACGAAGTGACTTTCTGGTTTAATACACATTACATATCTGAAGACATAATGCCAATGAACGAGGCTGTTAGAGTTTTGGTGGTAGGAGACCCGGGGGTAGGTAAAACATCACTGATATTAGCACTAGTAAGTGAAGAATTTCCAGTGGAAGTACCCCGCAAAGCTGAGGAAATTGTTATTCCACTAGGGGTGGGTCAAGCAGCAGTACCCACAAATATTTTGGATTATTCCTGTAAGTTTTGAAGTTTTCCATACCTTATAAACACTTATCGTTAGTATTTGTTTTTCTGACTTAAAAATTAATGGCAGGTACTGAGATGAGTGAGGAGCAGCTATCTTTAGAGATTAAAAAAGCTCATGTTATTTGCATCGTGTATGCAATGAATCAACGTGAATCTCTGGCAAGAATAGAAAATTATTGGTTGAATTTGTTACGAAGCTCAAGTCAAGAAAATGGATCTTATAAACCGGTTGTCCTTGCAGGCAATAAATCTGACCTAGTGGAGTATTCAACAATTGATGTATGTTATGTTATGTTATATATCGAATGATATTTATATAATATATGTCTCTCAATGTTGTAGAATGTTACGCAGATAATGGAGTCCTTTCCGGAAGTCGAAAGTATTGTTGAATGTTCAGCGAAGACGTTACAAAATGTCATAGAAATATTTTATTTTGCCCAAAAGGCGGTTTTGAATCCAACATCTCCACTATATATAATGGATCAACAGGATGTATGTGCAGTTCTTTACATAGTAAATTATTTAATATTAATTTATTATTTTTCTTAAAGCTGACGCCAGAATGTAAAAGGGCTTTGTGGCGAATTTTCAAGATCTGTGACATTGATGGTGACAACTACTTAAATGATTACGAAATCAATCTCTTCCAAGAACAATGCTTTGGCATTCCTTTACAACCAAACATCTTAACCGATGTTAAGGCAATTATTAAACAACATCTGCCAGACGGGATCTATAAAGAATCTATTACTTTTAGAGGATTCTTACTTTTACATTGCTTGTTCATACAACGTGGGCGAAGTGAAACAACTTGGGCTTGTCTAAGAAGCTACGGCTACAATGATCATTTGGACATATGTCCTGAATATTTGCGTCCTTCAATAAAAATTCCTACTGGTTGTACTACAGAACTATCTTCAAGTGGTAAAAATTTTCTTATTTCATTGTTTGAAAAATATGACCGAGATTCTGATGGGGCATTGTCAGCGAAAGATCATAAAATGTTATTCAGTATATGTCCAGATCCCGCTTGGTCCTATTTGGCTGACATAAAAAAATGCTGTCCTACAAATGAGGCTGGATTGATAACACTGGAGGGGTGGCTTTTACGCTGGATTTTAATGACCTATTTAGAAGTTCCAAGAACATTGGAATATCTTTTTTATTTAGGTTTCAATGCCTATGAAGACGGTACTCAGCTGAACGCTATACAAGTGACAAGAGAAAAAAGACTTGATTTATCCACACAGCAGACTAGTCGTTCAGTTTATATGTGCCATGTTATTGGATCTAAGGGAGTAGGAAAAACAAGTTTTTGTCGAGCGTTTATAGTAGATGATATGAATAAACTAATTGATAAAGACTTTAACACTAATATAGAACATTGCATTAACTCAGCTAAGGTACTTATAACACACTTATGATCATATGTATTTATGTTAGCCTTATATATATTTTCTATCAACAATAGCTCGAAGGAAACGATGAGAAACAATTAATCTTACGCGAGATAATCAATGTAGCTCTGGATCCATTACAACCTGAAGAGGTAAAATGTGACGTTGTTTGTTTGATCTACGATATTTCACATCCACAATCTTTTGAGAGCATAGCACGCATTTATCTTAAATATTATATTAAAAGTAAAATTCCGGTCTTAATTGTGAGCACGAAGTCTGATAAAGCAAAATGCCGACAGGATTACATACAACAACCAGAAGAATTCTGTAAGAAAAACAATATATTGCCAGTTTATCGGTTCAGCCTCAGGAACAATAACAAAGAAGTATATATTAAGTTAGCAAAAATGGCAGCATATCCGTAAGTAAATAATTTGAATTTGATTTTAGAAATTTAATAAATTAATACTCCATTCCTGGTGTAACTAAGTAAGCTGCAATTATAAACTAGTGTCAGTAATTCTATCATTCTACTTTTCCAATAACGGAGTGTACTTTCTTAGTGTCAGTACTAGGACATTTTTCGTGGTTGTAGATCTGAGGAGGATTCGTGTTGTAACGAACCTTTCTGGCCGGGGTTTTACTCGCCGGATTCAAGGTTCAGTCCTACAATAAATTTATTTGATAGGAACAGTGGAATACGGTGGATGGTGACGTTGGTACGGTGATATGGTTTGAAGAAATGTGAGTTTCTTCTCTATACAATGGATTTGACGTAGAAATGTTAATTTCGACGCCCCTGACAAAAGGTTTGAAGAAATGTGAATTTCTTCTTTATACACTGGATTTGGCGTAGAAATGTTAATTTCAGCGCCCCTGACAAAAGGTTTGAAGAAATGTGAATTTCTTCTCTATACAATGGATTTTGACGTAGAAATGTTAATTTCGACGCCCCTGACAAAAGGTTTGAAGAAATGTGAATTTCTTCTTCATACAATGGATTTGGCGTAGAAATGTTAATTTCAGCGCCCCTGACAAAAGGTTTGAAGAAATGTGAATTTCTTCTCTATACAATGGATTTTGGCGTAGAAATGTTAATTTCAACGCCCCTGACAAAAGGTTTGAAGAAATGTGAATTTCTTCTTCATACAATGGATTTGGCGTAGAAATGTTAATTTCAGCGCCCCTGACAAAAGGTTTGAAGAAATGTGAATTTCTTCTCTATACAATGGATTTGGCGTAGAAATGTTAATTTCGACGCCCCTGACAAAAGGTTTGAAGAAATGTGAATTTCTTCTTCATACAATGGATTTGGTATGGGTGCTAATACTCATGTGGTATTATCACCTTACCGCGTAATTTACTAACGAAAATTTGATTTCGTTTTAGTAAATGAGTAATAGAAATTTATATTTCTATTACTATTAACGAAATGTTAATTTCGTTATTAATTATGATTTTTAATAGAAATGTGTATTTCTATTAAAAATAAAAAAAAATAAAACAAAATAGAAATCGAGATGTAAATTTCGATTCTTGGTGTTTCAGCACACGTAATATAGAGCGACCTGTTCTTAGCTCGCTGTCTTGCTGAATGCCCGTCTACTGCGTTTGCTTCGCCTTTTATACTTGTGATGTGCGAAGCAAGCAGTATCTTTGTTCTTGTGATTTCAACGGTTCGTTGTTTACAAGTTTCTTTCTATTGTTGTTTGTTTTCTTGTTGTTTATTTTGTTTTTATTATATTTGTGTTGTTTGGTATTATTTGTGTAGTAAAATTTAGTTAGTGTAAATTTTATGTTACACTTCCCCGGTTTTTCCATCGAATTGAAGGACTCTGATTACCTCGTAGAATGATTCCTTGTTCGTTTCCTTGGATTTTTGAAAATTTTAAAGAACTTGTCTTGGACTATGATGTTATGATTGTCATCTTTTTGTTCAAGTATACCTAAACGTCTTAATTGTTGCTGGCGATTTTGACTACTATTTGGAATCTCAGTCTCGACGAAACATTGTCTTACTAGCGTTGGTGACGTGGTTCCTTTTGCCTTCGGTTGATCTACGTTAAAGTTCTCCTGAGGTGGCAGTTGTTCCTGTTGACTAACGCGATTAATTGAAACTTGTGCTCGACATTCTTGGCTTCGAATTTGTAACTGTCTGTCAGGTTCTGAGTTTTGCTGTCGTTGTATCTCTTGGCTTTGTGCTAGAAACTCCCTTGTAGATCGTTGGCGGTGTATCTCTTGGACTTGAGTTTGCAACTGTTTGTTAAGTTGTGTATCCTGACTTTGTAATTCTGTGTTAGGTTCCGTGTTCCGTTGACCTGGTGTTTCTTGACTTGGTAATTCTGTGTTAGACTCCGTGTTTTGTCGATGTATTTCTTGACTCGGTAATTCGGTGCTAGACTCTGTGTTTTGCTGACGGTGTATTTCTTGACTCGGTAATTCTGTGTAAGACTCTGTGTTTTGCTGACGGGGTATTTCTTGACTCGGTAATTCTGTGTAAGACTCTGTGTTTTGCTGGCGGTGTATTTCTTGACTCGGTAATTCTGCGTTAGACTCTGTGTTTTGCTGGCGCTGCACTTCTTCTGGTATTACCCGGGCTGGTTGAAATACTTCTGGATTTTCTTTAATCGACATTAGGCGTTGCAATCCTTGTAGTGGAGGTGTGAGACATTTACATGGCGTTTGTGAAATTTCTTGTAGTGGTTTTGGATGCTGTTCTAGATAATTTCGATCCTGCATGCTAAGTTTTTTTGTACGTAGGTTGGACTGATTCTGTAACGGGATCACTTGTGGATACTCGACTACTGTGAGCCTGATGAGCGCTTCTTTTGCTGCCGTTTGCGAATTGATGAAACTTCGCGAAGATCCTGTATCGATCGTTGCTTTCATGACTTGTTGATTAAAAGTCACTTGGGCCGACAGACGTGATTCACTGAGCTTCATGCATCCTACTGGTGGGACGGGGTGTTGACTTGAGGTCCCATCGCCCCGTTCTGTCGATGGACCCTGTTCTCGTTTCCCTGGTTCCTGCAGCACTCAATTGTACGTTTTCCCTTCTTTCCGCATTCCCAGCAAAATAAGATGCTTGAAAAACGACAATTCCACCTCAAGTGTCCTTGTTGTCCGCAGCGACGACAAGCTGTCCTGACATCTTTGATCTTGTCTTCAGATGTATCAATCACTCTTGCTTTGATCTCCTTAGCCGGTAGCGTGTTTCTTACTTGACGGTCCGTAGCGGTCAGTGCCTCCAGGTCCCCAGCTAATGTTAACAGCTCGGATAATGACTGGAAGTCTTTCCTACGGATATACCATTGATACTCGGTACGACTGTTCCGGTAGATTCTCTCTAATTTTATCTCTTCACTGTATGTTGAATATTGCATTATGTTCTGCAGTGCCAATACATAATCTCTGAACAGTTCCCTAGGTTGTTGCAGGCGGGCTCGTATTTTGTCATCTAATTGTTCAAAGTATCTTGGGGGCAAGAAGAATGCTAAAATATCTGCTTTGAATGATGGCCACTCGGTCCATCGCTTGTTGTTATTCCTGAACCAGATCAGTGCCTTGTCTTTTAGAACTTCAGGCATTAGCTTCGGTAATAAGTCCCGATGTATTCCGTACATATCTGCCAGTTCCTCGATACGTTCTATAAATGGTAGTATTTCGTGTTCCCCTGAGTAGTGGCATCCCCATTTTCTGACTTGGTTGATGATTACTGGATATTCGGCCATGGTTAAACTTCCTCCCTTAGTTAACGAAGGACATCTATTTTCAATGACTCCCGGTGATGAGCTTCTGATATGTAGTTTCGCGAGTTCCTGTAGCCGGGCGGTATCTTTCTCAGCTGCCTCTGAGTCCATGAACGTTGAAAGTTTTTTCCGAAGTTCCTCCAGTGAACCACTTGAATCTAGTCCGAACTCGTCTGCGTAACTCACCAGTTCCTCCTTTTTAGCGAAGTAAATCCAAGATTTGCCTCCTGATGTTAGTCGTTTTGCGCTTGTCGAAGCGACTGCTGTTTTACGGCCTGCTTGTCCTGTCACTTCCTTGATTCCTGATGGTACCACCGTTGGTTTGTCTTCCATACTCAACTGAAGATGTTGGTCAGTTCTGTTCCCACTGTCCCTGGTCGGGCGCCAATTGTAACGAACCTTTCTGGCCGGGGTTTTACTCGCCGGATTCAAGGTTCAGTCCTACAATAAATTTATTTGATAGGAACAGTGGAATACGGTGGATGGTGACGTTGGTACGGTGATATGGTTTGAAGAAATGTGAGTTTCTTCTCTATACAATGGATTTGACGTAGAAATGTTAATTTCGACGCCCCTGACAAAAGGTTTGAAGAAATGTGAATTTCTTCTTTATACACTGGATTTGGCGTAGAAATGTTAATTTCAGCGCCCCTGACAAAAGGTTTGAAGAAATGTGAATTTCTTCTCTATACAATGGATTTTGGCGTAGAAATGTTAATTTCGACGCCCCTGACAAAAGGTTTGAAGAAATGTGAATTTCTTCTTCATACAATGGATTTGGCGTAGAAATGTTAATTTCAACGCCCCTGACAAAAGGTTTGAAGAAATGTGAATTTCTTCTCTATACAATGGATTTGACGTGGAAATGTTAATTTCGACGCCCCTGACAAAAGGTTTGAAGAAATGTGAATTTCTTCTTCATACAATGGATTTGGCGTAGAAATGTTAATTTCAGCGCCCCTGACAAAAGGTTTGAAGAAATGTGAATTTCTTCTCTATACAATGGATTTTGGCGTAGAAATGTTAATTTCGACGCCCCTGACAAAAGGTTTGAAGAAATGTGAATTTCTTCTTCATACAATGGATTTGGTATGGGTGCTAATACTCATGTGGTATTATCACCTTACCGCGTAATTTACTAACGAAAATTTGATTTCGTTATGAACAATAGAGTAATAGAAATTTATATTTCTATTACTATTAACGAAATGTTAATTTCGTTATTAATTATGATTTTTAATAGAAATGTGTATTTCCATTAAAAATAAAAAAAATAAAACAAAATAGAAATCGAGATGTAAATTTCGATTCTTGGTGTTTCAGCACATGTAATATAGAGCGAACTGTTCTTAGCTCGCTGTCTTGCTGAATCCCCGTCTACTGCGTTTGCTTCGCCTTTTATACTTGTGATGTGCGAAGCAAGCAGTATCTTTGTTCTTGTGATTTCAACGGTTCGTTGTTTACAAGTTTCTTTCTATTGTTGTTTGTTTTCTTGTTGTTTATTTTGTTTTTATTATATTTGTGTTGTTTGGTATTATTTGTGTAGTAAAATTTAGTTAGTGTAAATTTTACGTTACAAGTGGT